GTAGCTGAGACTTTGTCACAGATAATGATCAATAAAAAAAATCGAACAACTTTGAACGTGATAAGGGGTTTTACCAAAAATCTATAAATATCGCTGTATTTATTCATGTGTTAAACAAATTATTGTATACATCACATTTCAGCCATTATGATTCGTTTGATTCCCTTTGCAAAGACCTCTTCACCTTAAGTGATCCAATACCTTCACGATTTGGTGTCAAGTTACAATTAATGTATGACATCAATAAGTAGCCAGTAAACAATATTGCAATAGGAATAAAGAAGTTTTGATTGGTCTCTTGATGAGATGACAGCGGTTGGTCAATAGCTTTGCTTATGACCACTTAGCCGAGTCAAACTGGGTCCAAGCTATGAAGACGTATCGTGAAACCGAAACATGGCTCAAATTTTCAATTTCCTGTCAACTTAATTTTCTAATTCTTCCTTAAAAGTTCATCATGGTGTTTTACACGAATAAAAGTATTTTTTGTAATTGAGATATTCAAAGGTTATACTTCGTGAGACAAGGAGACTTCATGGGTGTTTTCATATTCTTTCAAACAGTTATCATATGACAATTAGTTTGTTGAAAGCGACGTTTTCTTAAAATCTGAAAGATTTGGGAACTTTTGGTTTTGCCAATCAAAATGACAACGAAAACTACATTGAATTTTGCCTTCTGAAAAACATCACGCCCCAGTATACCGTGCACTGACTAACTAGCGAGATTTAAAACAAATTTGTCTCACAAACGATAACTACTCTAATTAAAACCACTTTCAGTTCACTTTACGCTAGTAAAGTGACTTTGTACTCTTTATTATTATCAGTATTAGTCTTTCAATATTTTGGTGGAATAGCACAGTTGACTTAATCTGAAAAATGTGTCTCTTGATTGATTGAACTTTTTTTTTTCCGAGGAGACATTATGATTGTTTATATGCATGCCACTATTTTTAAGCCGTCAGGTTCTTTTTTTTTTCACACTTAGAAGAAAAAAGATAGCAGGTCAATCTAAAGTTTTAGTGACCATTTACTTCCCGTAAATTTACACCAACTACTCATAGCTGATTCGTAACACATTTTTTATCTTTTTTCGGGAATGTACCATTTGCTTAATTTATCAACAAAATTGGAAACAGTTTGTTCCATTGTGCAATGTATGCTACAATTATTCTCAAACAGCTTGATTCGAAATAAGAGCTAACAATGATATTGTGATCTTGGAAACGCGTTTAGAAGCTGCCAAAATTAATACATATAAAACAACATGGCGTGAAGCAAAAGAGGTAGCTGATTTCATTCTCAATGTGAGTTGTGTTTAGAAACGCAATGATTATAATAATAATATCTTATAGTGAGGGCACTCGAACCGTGAACACTTTAACCATTTTTTAAAAATATTTTTCAATGTCAATATAATGAAGGTTCTTCATATTAACAAGAGTGTTTACTGTTTTTACATTGTAAAAATGCCAGCCTTGTACATTATCTAAAGAACCGTCGTTCTATGAGCACCCCCCAAAAATTAAAGAGTTCATGGTTCTATTGTTCCTTATTGTAGAAGGCATTTACGTTACAGCATCTTGAAAATTTAAGCTTAGAATATTTCATAATGACGTTCTACGTCTTCCACAGCACTTTGAGTGAAAACCATCCCTGCACTCGTTCGGTTTTGCCTCCTAGATAGCGCTTTTCCTGTATCGTTAAAATTTTCGTTCAATGTACGTACAGTGCACCGTTCTCAAACCATTTCAATAATCTAGAATCGATTATTTAAGACTTACATAGACGTCGATCGGCGACTATTTAGAATTGTACTCGAAGTGAACATTAGCTCTCATTTGTAACACTACTTAAGAAGTCCTCAAGCCAACAAAATCAGTAAAACACTTTTAGAAATATAAAGCATATTTCGTTATAACATGCAGTTTTTAATTAACAGCTTACTGTATAAACACTTCTGATATTATGATTTTGATTTGAACAGGGTTTTATGCAACATCTGTTGATAAATTCCGATGTAGCCTTTTTTAAATACAGCCAGGTTTCCCCACGATTTTTTGAATAAAATGGAGTCAATGTAAAAGGGACGGAAGGGTGTATTCTTCTCGATCTTCTCGTTGGTTTAGGTTTAAGAGCCCACGCTGAATGACCTATTTATCACTTGCAAACTTGTCAAATCTCGTAAAATGTGCGGCAGCGTGACATCAGCAAATATTGAATCTCTGATTATCAGATAAGCGAACACGGTGGTCAGAAAATTGACAAGAAGATAGTTGTTTCGTTTTGATAAATTTTCAATCAGGCTAAAATGTAGGTATTGTATATTTTTTTCTGGAATACATGTCAGCGTAGATAATAACATAAAATTTGAAATAAATATTCAGGAGCAAAGGTACCTGTGAGCAATAGACTGTTTTCGATATAGTAACATTTAGCTGGGCAGTGAGGCCTGGAGGACACAAACAAAGGGAGTTGAATGACCATGTTTATTCATTTCTTTTGATTGTATCCTCTAGGTCTCACTATCAAGCTGAATTTTAATATATCGAAAGTGACCCGTTTATTTCTTATTGCAAGAAAAATTATGAGATTGCCTACTGATAATGCACATCCAATGATGAACTGTTTACAGGCTATACAATAACTAAGGAGACTGATGAACCTTGTAAAACCATTCTGAAAATGTTAACTAACTTCTGGATATATTCCAATTTCTTTCGTGAACTTTTGGTGATCTATAGTTAGGAAACTCTTCGAATGATGTTTGGCAGAGAACTGAAGTTTTTGTGAATAACAGTATGATTTCTAAACGCGCTATGTTAATAGTTTCAAGTAAACACACACCAAAAATGAAATTGCATTGGCGTCGGTAAACCTGGTGTCATGTTGTGGTCTTGCAAAGGTTCATCGAATTTCCTCGTATATATTTTAACAGCTCTTGGATGCAAAATCTGAGCAGCAGTCAGAACAACAAACTGTGTGTTATTAGAAACTGAAAAATACCTCTTATATGTTCCTGAGCTGCCACCAAAGATCAGGAAATTGTGTGCCACTCATTTTCCCTTTGGCCCTCTTTGGTCTTTTTCAGACGTGCTGACCTGCCTGATTCCTTCATATTTGCACTAAAAAAGAACAATTACTGTCTGTCAGCTAAATAGATTTTGCTACATCAGTGAGACACACTACACGTTAAGCATGATATTGAATGATATATCTTATAACAGTCACCCGTTATCCCTTTGTATTGTGAAAGAGCAGAAAAACGCAGGAGTTGCTGTCCCAAAACACGCCAAGTATAAAGCAGGATTCGCCTTCCAGTTGATGTTTGGCTCCTTGCGCTCAGTCTTACTCCACAGATGTAACTTTTCCTCGGTCTTGCTACTCTCCTCTAATCCTGAGGTCCAGTCCAGTGCTCATGGCAACTACAGAGGGTGCACAGGTCTGCGGCAATCTCTACGGAACTCTAAATACTCCTTAAACCTTTAAAGGTGCTAAACCATGAGAGTGATAAGGGTGTTTTTTTCGATGCCAAATTTGCCTTCAAATACAGAAACCTCAAGATAACAGTGCAAATGGTCACGATTGACTAGTTCTGAAAAGGATAAACTTGATTAAGAAATATTAATCATAAGTGTTCTGTTTTCGCTGTTCTTTTTATTGTGAACATAAACGACCAATTTGTTTTAGAACTGTAAAAACTTTAATCTTCTTCAAAATGGAAAAAA